AGAGAGAGAGAGCGCACAGTGTGTGCATGTCTTAGCCTAGGGGGAAATCTGTATTCAGAGTGAGCAGCTACTGTAGCAGCCTTCTCTAGCCCAGCTCCCTCTGGGTGATGTCACGGCCGGAGGTGGGGCCTGCCTTTATGGTTTATTTGTACAATACATCACTTCCTGACGGCTGCCATTGCCACAGAACTGCTGTTAGTGCACCAAGGAAGAAGCTGACAAAACAGCACCACACCGGGGACTTGCTCTGCAGAGCTCATGGCTCTGTCTCCTAATGGTGTGGACCAGGAACCAGCCAGCAAAAGGCTACACTCCAGGTAGGACCTGAGGGAGGGTGAGGGAGGGGGCAGGCACAGAGCCTGGTGGGGGAGAAATGAGCTGATTACAGTTAGCCGGCAAGCTGTCTGAACACAGGAGGAGTTAAGCAGGGAGTGTGTGGATTGGTGTGGTAGTACACTGAACCAATTCTTGGACACTGTTTTCTCTAAAATACCACAAGTAATGCATTCAAATGGGCTACAAAATTGCGAAAAGGGGACAACTGCTGTAGCTGGCAGGAATGTTTAAATGTTTATGAGGCTGTTAACTGGTAAATGTAGAGAAGGAGCTGGGGTTTTGTGACCAAACCACCTTAAATGCTTCAAAATATGAAGGTGGATCTATAGAGGGGACAAATCTCTGGCAATGCTGTGTGTACCTTTCACCTGTGGTAAATTTGTATTCTTTACCGCTGCACTATTTACATACTCTACGCCACCACACTTTCAGTGCTCTGCTGTGCTTCCTCTGTAGTTCCCCTCGTGCTTTACTGAGTTCACACACAGCGCAGTGTCAGGCTCGTTCAGAGAGCTGTGTGCGCTTCTGCTCGTGTTTGTGCTGCCTGTGCAGCAGAATGTGTGTGTGATGTGGAATTTCCTTGAGAGGAGGTGACAGGGTTTGAAGGCAGCGTGTCAAAGAAACATGACTAGTGGGAGAAGTTGCACTGCACCACACTCCCTTTTGTCAGTGGGAATCTGAAGATTGCCCTACAATTTATCCAACATCTCACTGCTGCTCTTGTGGAAGTTGAGAGGTCACATACTATACAGGAGAAAATAACTTGTTTTCTACAATCTAAGAGGTACTTTGCTGAAGCTCGGGTTTGTGCTGTTTCACCTCTGTGTGCAAGTACAAGAGTTGTGTCCTTATATATAAAATTTGTGAATTTGCTGATGATCGTAAATAGAGGACAGCAGCAAGAATAGATTAATACACAGCAGCCTAAAGTATCATAATTGTTTAAATCAAAAACTTCAAGAGGTATATAATTGAGACTCAATCATTGGCTAAATAAGTAACTAATTATGCACTTTAACAAAAACAAAATACAGTAACGATATTGGTGACCATAGACCACATTAGTGCAAAAGTTACTTTAGTAAAGATTTTTTTTGGCTTAAAATAATATTACAATTAAGATTGCACATACAGGTAGCACTCAAATTTATAAATTAGAATGGTTCTAGGCTAATTGACTAATTGGTTTTTTATCTGTAAATATTTACTGGGGAAGTTAGATATAAATTAACACCATTTATTACTGCTAGGTTTCTGAAACAATGTCTCAGTACATAAGGAGATATCAGAAAACTCAAATGGAAATGTATGCAAATACTGATGTATATATAATAGTGTAATGTTAATATGCATCTATACCAGAAACTTACACTAATACCCATGTGCTGTACTTTGTTCCATGAAAACAAGTTCTGAAATGAAATGCATGATTCAAAATGAAAGTTAGAAAACAAATGGAATTTAATCCTCTGTGGTTTTGCATACACAGTCAGACGTGTATTAGTACAACATTTACAGTACTTCTTTCAAAGTGGGCTTACTTTGACAAGGGCGCAAAAATCAATTCTTTTAACAATTGGCCACACGGACTCCTGAGTCTTGCAGACTGCCAGCTGATCTCTGGGTACTTTCCATTACAGCTCACAAGAATGCATAAGACTAGTTAGAAGCAAGCGATCATGAAGCGTGCTTGCTTGGTTTTGGGTAACTGATCGATCGAAGTGTCATATCTAGCAAGTTAATAAAGGACCTCCGGCAATCTGTTTCAACAACACAACCGGTAAAGCTTGTTCTGGACACCCACAATACTTTGCTCCAGCTTGGGGTAGCTGTACTAAAGAAGGTAGCAAAATGAAAGGGTGAAGACTGAGATAATTCTCAAAGGAAAACGACTGACTTAATCACAGTATGCCCACTCCTCCTCCAGCCCAGCAGCCTCCACACTCAGCTGTTTCAGGGTGCTCTGAGAGGAAAATGGGAATGCTAATGAGATGGAGGTGTGAATTGACATCCACGGGCTATTCACAGGCTACAGCTCTGAGGCTGCATGTACAGTGCTACAGTATACTCTTTTTCAGCTGTTATTTCAGTTATGTGCCACAACAAGGCTTCAAGGAGGACTGTATATCACCCCCCAGACAACTAAGAAAAGTTTAATACTGTATGTTCTTTTATAGAGCACAAACCTTGAGTTAGCCATTTAAATTTTATTTTCTATTCTTGTACAAATCTGTGTAATTCGTTGCCTTCATTTTTAGTTCACTCTTGGAGTAAAAGATACAGCTGACTGTTACATTTCTTATAATGCCTGACTCAAAGGAGCAGTTCAAAATTGGCACGGCTCTTATCGCTACTTGTTGAAACTTA